CACATTTTTTTTTTCCATCTCGATTGTAATCCCCGCGGGTTTCCCATCACCAAATCACCCCTGTGCCACCACCATAGTCCTGTGCATTTCCCTCTCTTCCCCTCCTCTCCCCCCCCGTTTTTGATCCCATTCCCCACTCCACCCCCACAGAATGTCTCTGGTATATGGTTGTTCATTATTTTTGTTATTTTCTCGCCTGGTCCATTATACTCCTGCTATGAGTGAAACCATCTGGTATTTTTCTTTCTCTTTCTGGCTTATCTCACTAAGCATGATCTTTTCCAGCTCCATCCAAGTTGCTGCAAAAGACATGTGTTTCTCTTTTTTGGTTGCTGAGTAATATTTCATTGTATATATGTACCACATCTTTCTAATCCAGTCATCTACTTTTGGGCATTTGGGCTGCTTCCATGTTTTTCCAATTGTAAATAAAGCAGCAATAAACATGGGGGTACAAGTATCTTTTTGAATCAGTGTTTTTGTGTCTTTTGGGTAGATACCTAGGAGTGGGATTGCTGGGTCGTAGGGAAGCTCCATGTTTAGCAGTTTGAGGAACCTCCAAACAGTTTTCCATAGTGATTGTACTAGTTTGCATTCCCACCAGCAATGCAGGAGAGTTCCTTTTTTTCCACATCCTCACCAACATTTGTTGTTGCTAGTTGTTTGAAGATGTGCCATTCTCACTGGAGTGAGGTGGTATCTCATTGTGGTTTTAATTTGCATCTCCCTTATTACGAGAGATGTTGACCACTTTTTCATATGCCTGTTGGCCATCTGCATTTCCTCTTTGGAGAAGTGTCTTTTTAGCTCTACTGCCCATTTTTTGATGGGATTGTTTACTTTATTTTTGTTGAGTTTCATCAGTTCTCCGTATATTTTTGTGATCAGTCCTTTATCGCTACTTTTGTGTGAGAAAATGTTTTCCCAATTAGTGATCTTTCTGTTTGTTTTTAGTAATGTCTCTTTTGCTGTACAGAAGCTCTTTAACTTGATGTAGTCCCATCTATTTATCTTTGCCTTCACTATTGTGGCGTTGGGTGCTCTGTCTTTAAAGATGTCGCTGAAGTGTATGTCGTGTAGTGTTTGACCCATCTTATGCTTTCCGTTCTTAAAACATGAATGAAATTTAAGAAAAGTTTGTAAGATTTCTAATGTTGTTAATTTGTATGCCCTAGCTGTATCTGCGCCATTGAAGTGATGTTTTAAGAAAGAAAACCATCATCTATTAAAATTCCCTGTTTAACTGGGATTATGTAATGCCTTTTATTTAAGGGGTTAGGGAAGAGGACAAAACAGAGTCTAATTTAAAGATGCTGCTGCTGTTGTAATGACTGCTGCATCATCTTCCATTGGGAGCAGTTACCTAAGTTTTAAAAAATGTCTGCTTAGGAAAACACTGACCAAACAGGAAATGTCAGATACTTTCTGAGTCTGGAGTTTAATTTAGTTTCTATTTGAAGTAGCTAATTGTACACTGTGTAACACAGACATTTAAAAAACTGAGGATCAACAGCAAGCACATTACATCTGTGTAAGTATCACAGTGTTTCATAACTGCAGAACTTCCTTGCGTTTGTATTCTTAATTTATCATTATCTGCCTTCCTGCCTGTCACTTAAGAGACTCAGTGTAGGGAACATAGGGTTGAAGTACATTTGGCCTTTTAATGTCAGTCTGATGACTGCAGATAGAGCCAAAAAGGCCCAACAACATCTACTCAAAATTGCTTTATAATGAATTTTGAATTCAAAGTAGTTTACAAAGTAGTTTACAATAGAGCAGCACAAGTTATTATTTATATATCGTAATCAAACAACCAATCATGCCTGTTGTCGCAGAGAGTAGTTTTCATTAGGGTAATAGAAGCAATGATAGTGTAGATATGCCCCAAAGCATAATGATATTCGAAATAAGACTCCTCAAACCCTCTTCATTTTCCTTGACTTAGGTTTTTAAAGATAATATTCAACATTACCACACTTGTATATGGTAATATTGATCCTATTTTTTTTTAAATATTTATTTATTCATACAGAACTAGGGTACAGGCCAGAGAAGCGGAGGGTGAGAGGATTCACCAGAGACAGAGCAGGGAGCAGAACAGGCAGATCGACGAGGGGAGCAGCGGGCGGGTCAGGAGAGGTCTGCCACACCATATGGATCTCCTCCAGGGCAGGTGGGGATCGAACTCATGCGGAAGTGGCTTAAGCTTCTCAGTGCTGTGCTTTAACCCGCAGCGCTACCAGGAGGGCCCCGATCCTATTTTTATCTCTTTTAGTTTCCATGTTTGAAGGCAGGGTGAATATTTACAGACTATAGGCCTTCTTGGATAAGAGTGATACCCAACTATTTCTTGAATTTCTGAGTTCGAGGAAGAGCTGAACAATATCTTACCCTTTTCAGTCTATATTTAGTATTGGCATTTGTGAAAGTCATTGTGTATAGGTCAACAAAAACTTATTTTTACCCTTGGTATCTGCCATTTATATGGTATAGTTGTTTATTATTATCATCTTCCTTCTTTATATTAATAGTTTTAAAATTAAAAAATGAAAGGTGGAAATCTTTCCAAGTAACACTGCAGACCAACATGATCTGCTGTGTACTGGTGAATGCTGTCCAAAGATGACTTCTGCATGTGAGATGTCATGTTGCTGTGACATCACTGGCCTAGATTATAGGGCCTTACTTACCTACTTTCCTCTACTCCATGTCCATCTTCTAGCCCCACCCCTAGCAATCACTAATCTGTTCTCTATTTCTGGAATTCATTTAGCATCATTCTCTGGAGATTCATCCAGGTTGTTGGCATAGTTCTTTTTTTTAATCGCTGAGTAGTATTCTGTGATGGTTGTACCACAGTTTATTTAACATTTGCCTCTTGAAAAACATCTGGGTGTTTCCAGTTTTGACAACTGTGAGTAAAACAGCTATAAACATTGGTATATGGTTTTTGTCTGGACGAAAGTCTGTATTTCTCTGGGATAAATCCTCAGGAGTGCAGTTGCTAAGTCCTATAATAATAGCATGTTTTTTTTTAGCGTTTTTTTTTTCTTTTTTCTTTGACAAAGTATTTTCCAGAGTAACCTGTACCGTTTTATATCCCCACGAACAATGTATAAGTGATCCACTTTCTTTCCATCCACAACAACATTTGTTGTTGTCACTGCTTTTCACATTTTGCCATCACCAAGATGTGTGGTGGTGATAGCTGGTGGTTTTATTTTACATTTCCCCTGGCACTAATGCTGTTGAGCATTTTTAAGTGCTTATTTGACTGGTGTCAAGTTTATTCTTTACTTAGCCCTAGATTTTAAAGGCTTTGTCCTCTGCTTTTTCCCCCTATTAGTTTGAGTTTCCTTTTAAATCCTTGATCCATTTTTTTTTTTAAAGATTTATTTATTTGTTCATACAGAACTGGGGTACAGGTCAGAGGCTCAGGGGCGGTGAGAGACTTCACCAGAGACAGAGTGGGGAACAGAACAGGCAGATCTGCGAAGTACACTGCTGAGGGGAGCAGCGGGCGTGTCAGGAGAGGAATCGAACTCATACCAAAGTGGCTTTAACTTCTCAGTGCTGTGCTTTAACCTGCTGCGCCACCAGGGAGGGCCTCTTGATCCATTTTTAAATTAACTTTTTTTTTTGCATAAAGTTGTTCGATTTGGTTGAGTTTTTTCTTATGGATAGCCAGGTGTTCCAACACCATTTGTTGAAAGGACAACAGTCCCATGGGATTGCCTTGCACTTATTGTCAGAGATCTTCCCCACACTGCTTAGAGTTGTTTCTAGCTACGATCTGTGTTTGTACCATTGATCTTTGTGTCTGTCCCTCTGACGTTACCGCCATTTGACAATTGCAATTACAAATTAAGTCTTGATACCAGGTAGGATAATTTCAACCACCTCATCCTTTCCCAATTTTCTTTCGGTGGTTCTGTTTCTTTTGTTCGTTCTCATTAGTTTTAGAATAATTTTGTCAATGTCTGTAAGAACTCTTTCTGGGATGATCCAGCAGGTGTGTACATATGGCATATGTACCTATTGTATGCTTTAAATATACAGTTTATTTTCTGTTAGCTATAACTCAAAGCTGTTTAAAAGATACCACAGCAACACATGAAATAGCACTCCAACTTGCCCAGACTTTTGTTTACAAAGTAAAGTCATGTTTGGGTATACTTTCTAGAATTACATCTTTGTTGACAATGAGAACTGGTATTGTCTGTGCCCTATATTTTGAGTCACACTGTTTTTAGAGTAGTGTTTTTACCATATTTTATATAGAATTTTTTTCTCCCTCAGAATCGGGTCATTCTGTGGGTATCCTATTGACATCTATATCATAGTCACCCTGTGGTTTGATCCATTTATGTTCTGTTGTATGGATTCCTGCACTGGGGGTATGCGACGATCTCAGCATGACTCCTAGAAAATTACCTAGACCTATAACATTTTCAGCTGAATTTAAAAGAGCATCATGTTGAAACTTTGGTATAATATTCCCACCATCAGATATTTGAAGGGATCATTTACAAGTTCAGTGATGTGTGAGTATTTCTCAAGCCGAGGTGTGATGGTATGTACTCCCGAGTACATACCTGGCGAAATCTGTGTTCAGATCCTGGCTGTCCAGGTGAGCAGGACGGTGTGGGGCTAGCCACAGAACTGTCTTAGCCTCAGCTTCCTGCCTTTAAGACAGAGCAACACCTGCCCTCCCAGTATCAGTGACACACAGTTGTACGTGCTCGGTGCTATGTGCATGTAGGTTTACTTGATAGGTGCTATGTGTATATAAGTTTACTTCACTGGATATATTTTTACCTTCATCCGAGAGGGTTATTTTTCTCTTCAGGAGTAAATTCCATATTTTGAAATTAATTTGGAAACTACTTTTTAAAACTGGGAGGTGAATTTTTTAGCATGTCTAACCTGTTAATAACTATAGGTGCAATACCTGAGAGATGTATGTGAAATAATACTTTTTTTTTTAATCTTTTCAGGGAATTGCTCTCTTAACTGAATTAATTAGGGAAAACTTCAGGAACAGCAAATTAAAACAGTGCCTTTTACCAACCCTTGGGGAGCTGATCTATCTTGTAGCCACCCAGGTAAGACTGTCTGATTATCTCCATTGCTGTTTGCCATGTTCTGACATATCCTAACTGACACATATTAATATCCTATAAATGTTTTCTTGACTTTGCCCCTTAGAGCATGCCTAAGGAACTTAGGAGACGTTTTACCTCTGAGGGAAGAGAGACATTGAGTCTCTCTCTCTCTCTAGCTATCTTCTCCCTTTTTTCCCCAGGGCTTCTTTGACTTTAAAGTCTAGGAAAATCTCAGGTCAAATTTTAAAACTAATGGATGGGAAGCCCCCAGAGTATACGCTAGATTACTACTTACTTAACTCCTTCAGACCTGGGGAAGCCATTAGCTCTTCCAGTATAAATGCACCATTTCAGCTTACAGATCTACTTTGTGCAAGTATAGTTCTTAACATGGTCATGAAAATTTCAGAATTTAACTTTGCATTTCTGAAGTTACAATATGGAAGTGCTGCTGAATTCAGCAAAGGAAGCTTAAGATTTTATTTTTTTAAAGATCTATTTATTAATGCATACAGAATTGGGGCACAGGTGAAAGGTGCAGGGGCAGTGAGAGGATAGTGAGAGGATTCACCAGAGACAGAGTAGGGAGCAGAACAGGCAGATCGACGAAGTACACTGCTGAGGGGAGCAGCGGGGGGACAGGAGAGGTCTGCTGTGCCATGTGGATCACCTCCGTGGGCTGGGGATCTGGCCCGGAATTGAACTCTTGCTGAAGTGGCTGTGGCAAGCTCCATAGTGCTCTAATTTAACCTGTTGTGCCACGAGGGAGGTCCAGAAGCTTAAACTTTTATTAATGTGACTTTATAGAAGACAGTTGAGTAATAATAAAATTAAAAACTATTTCATGTAATGTTCTTTACCAGTAATAAGTTAATCAGGAAATTCTTTCTTTGAATTTCTTAAATTTTGGTTCTATAACTTGTGTAAATATCATATAACCCGAGTGTCTTTAGTATATAAATTAATTTTCTGGACAATCATTGTTTTAATGCTACAACCATAACTGTTATAAAGCATTAGTACTTAAATCACGTTGTTTCATAATTAGTAGCAATAGCTGAGGTGGTTTAGCAAATCTCCTTTATTCTTCCTTTTCACAAACATCTCAGCTATTCCTGGCCCTTCACATGTCAGAATAAATTTTAGAATCAGCTTATCTGATTCTCTAAATCATCATTTAAAAAAAAAACTGCTTTGGCTCTGCAGAACAATTTGAGAAGCACTGATATCTTTATGATTTGAATCTTGCAGTTCATGTTTGAAATCGAACTGAGTCTATATACTGATTAAGGAAATATTACTATATTTAAGGTATTTGTCCTCCAATGTGCAAAATGTCATTTCTATATATTAAAAAACTTTCACTAAGGTCATTTAATTCTATCCATATTTTTTTTCATACCAATTTTTGTGGTTTATTTATTATTTTAATTAAGTATTTAAAAAAGGCAGCACATTCACTAAACTAGAAAACTGAGCAGTAAAGAAAAGCATGGGTAGAAGCCTCTTTTCAAGATACTTTTGTCCCCTCCATTTCATTCCCCAGTAGATAGCTGTAATTACTTTCTCTTGTTGAAGTTACTTATGTACATGTGTGCAAACAGAAATGTAGACTATTTTGACCTGTTTTATATGACAAATAGAAACTTCTTTTCCACTTAATTATATACTATTAAGAATAATACATGGAAGTGTGGACATTGGAGCTATTAATTAATGTGCATTTTTAAAAGTTATTTACTTATATATACATATATATGTGTTCATTTTTGCACAAGGCCTGCTTTCTCCTCTCAGATGTAGTCCCCAGAGAATTCCCACCACCAATTCACCCTGCACCATCGCCACAGTAGCTTGTGCTCTTCCTGCCCTTGTTTTGATTCCTCTCCCTACAGGATGTCTCTGATTTACAGTCACCTATTTATTTTTGTTGTGTTTTTTTATTGTTACTATTTTTCCTCCTGATCCCTTATTTGGTTCCTCTATATTCTGCCTGTAAGTGAAACCATCTGATATTTTTCTTTTTCCTTCTGATTTATTTCACTGAGCATAATTCCTTCCAGCTCCATCCATGTTGCTGCAAATGGCATTTGTTTATCTTTTTTGATTACTGAACAGTATTCCATTGTATATATGTTCCACATCTTCTTGATCTAGTCTATTTTTGGGCATCTGGATTGTTTCCAAGCTTTACCTATTGGAAATAGTGCTGAAATCAACAAGGGTGCAGGTATCCTTTTGAATTAGTGTTCTTGTGTCCTTTGGGTAGAGCCATAGGAGTGGAATTGCTGGATCATATGGAAGCTCCATTTTAGTAGTCTGAGGAACCTCCACATAGCTTTCCAGGTTGCATTCCCAGCAACAGTGTAGCAGAATTCCTTTTTCACTGGTGGGTCATTTTCTTTTTTAAAAAAGATTGATTTATTTATGCACACAGAACCTGGGCACACAGGCCAGAGGTATAGGGATGGTGAGAGGATTCCACAGAGACTGAGTAGGGAGCAGAATAGGCCGACTGACGAAGTACACTGCTGAGAGGAGCAGCGGCTGTGCCATGTGGGTCACCTCCAGGGCGGGAGATCGAACTCATGCTGAAGTGGCTTTAGCTTCTTAGTACTGTGCTTTAACCTGCTCCACCACTAGGGAGGGCCCTGGTGAGTCTTTCTTTCTTTGTTCTTTTTCTTTTTTATTTTACAAAAGTTTATTTTTACATCATTTTGTACATTTTTTTTT